TATTTCAATGAAACATGTAAATGCTATTAAAGCTAGTTAATAAACCATCTTGGCCAATAATTAATATAGATGAACGGTTATTATTACCGACTGAGCTAGTAAGTTATGAGAGCTAATCAACACTACACTACAATAATACATGTGAGCATTATTTAGAAGAATGTTAGAATACTGGATTAACATAAGTAAAAATCGGTCGATAATGATACAGCTAAAATGAGGAATAATAATAGGCCGTGTTTAATCACGCCAGGTTCACCAATGTAGATTTACGGTCTACTTAGTTATTAGTACTGCTCTATTAATAGACCTAATCCTAAAACTGTAGATACGTCATGATGTAGCTGCCTAATCTATATGATCTTACGTGGAAGTCACATCATTGTCTACAGCAACTCATCGCATCGTAAAAATCACCAATATATAATAGATAATACATAGAGACTAGAGATAGAACAGTATATTTAATATGAATAAAAGATCTTAAAAGTATATTTTGCTTATGAAAGCAATTAAACCATTAGAAATTAGATAGTTCGCAATAGATAGATACAAGGAAGTTCGTAAACCCTCAATTGACAAATAGAAATCGTTCTACGAATCCGTTTGCATGTGAGTGGTAGGTGGTCGTTCAGAATCGTGTGATCCCTAGTGAGACAACAAAAAACTCCGGCATCAAACGGGCATCCACGGACTTTAGTGATAGTTGAAGAGCAGCTGAAGCTTGTTATCCACCGTTCGACGGAGTTGTGGGCCATTATTTCAGCAGTAGTGTTGTTGATAAATACTACTTCTGGCCACCATGTGAAACGGCCTACACAAGTTAGGAGATAAGAGTATCTATCCGAATCTGGTAAAGGTCCTGCCAAATCCAGATGAACATGGTCGGAACGAGCAACGGGAGTTTTGAAAGAGCCTAAGGGATCACTGTTGTGTCCAATCTCCTTGGATTTCTGACAGCTTACACAGGAGTGTGCTCACTCTTTCGCGTCTTTATTCATACTGGTCCAAAAAATTCGCTCTGCTATGAGCTTGATGGTTGTTCGAACACCTGGATGAGAAAGTCTGTACAATGTATTGAAGAAGTTGCGTCGATAATGTTACGAGACGACCGGACGATTCCTAACTGTAGATGTGTCGCACAGTAAAGCTTCCTTACATTTTCCTATGTGTTTAAACGCAATTTCACAGTTGTCAAAGATAACTTTTGCTGAAGATCAGTGTCTTCTTTTTAAAGCTTGGCGAGTTTAAAAAGATCGATTCCTTGGAAACTGTTTAAGGACGTTAAACGAGACAAGGCGTCTGAGACTACATCGTTTGCTTCGGAAATGTGTTGTATATCTGTTTTAAACTGGAAAATGTAGTCCGATGCTCGAGACCCTAGAGAAGAGTACTTGTCTAAAGATGGACTTAAAGAGAAAGCAAGAGGTTTGTGATCGGTGAAAAGAATGAACTTTTCGTGCCTTAAGGTAACCCTCGTGCTATTAATAAAAGAAACCAGACAAGTAGTGAATAGGTCTTTATTTCAATCTTCGCGCAGTCACAGTGGAGCGTGGGATTATTTGTTCAGACAAACAAAGTCTCTCAACATTCAATATAAGTGATAATAAGAAATATAACGCCTATGCAAATTAAAGAAGTGAATGAATACTTGACCTGTACTGTTCAGGCATATGCTTGGTTGTTTGAGGTCAACTCTTAACCAACCAACCTATGCTGTTACAAATTCTCGGCCTTCAGTTGAGTGTTGAAAGTTCCACACGGCATAATATAGGAGTTTCCTACCGAAAGTTCTATGTCTCTATTCGGCGTCTAGCAATCGTCTTGCGAAGACTGCCGAAGGCTGCCATGTGTGGTTAACCTACTGTCGTAAGACTCCTCCGACTACCGAGTCGGATTCGTCTGCTGCGATACTAATGTGTGTTTTGTTGTCTGGGTTTGCATGCATAGTTATTCTTGCGATAAGTTCCTTAATTGTGGAGAATGCTTCTTCCGCATTATCATCCAAGTTGATGGGTTTCCCATTTCCACGAACTTCGAGGTTTCATAAGGGACAAGCAATTTTGTATTAAACTTACTAGTCCGTAAAACGTGCGTAGTTGCTTGATTGCGGTCGATTCCAGGTAATGAAGAATCGTCTTTTCAGAGGTTGGATGCTTTGAGCAACAATATTCTGTCCGAGAAAACCTAGAGAGACAGTGCCAACACTTCTGAAGCTTTACAGTAATTTCATGTTTTTGCAATCGTTCTAAAACAAATATCAAATGCTGGAGATGAGATTCTCTATCCGAACTAGCAGTCAATTAAATGTGCGCATACGAATTTGAGAACCTGAAATACGTCATTGATGGATCGCATCAAGTTTTGTGCAACATATCTTCAGCCGGAAAGCATGCGCGAAAATTTGTGGAGTCCGGTGGGAGTGGTGACAGCGGGCTTAGGTTCTGTGGCCATCGAAAATCGGCTATACGCTTTGATCTGAACAGTTTTCAGAAAATAGTTGTGCCTTTTAAGGTGGCTATCATATCATAAATGTGAGACAACAAGTTACGTAAGTGGTTTTCGTATTCAGTTGCCGATGATGACCAGTTTGATGCTAATCACTGTTATCCTTTTTAGGAACCATGTGTAAGGGAGATTTACAGGGGCAGTTCGATGGCCAAATACTTCCCAACATCAGCTTTTAGGATGCTAGTCTGTGAGCTTTCGAGAATACATGTAGTCCTATAGTCGTGATGTGTTGTACAACATCGTTGGTTACAAACGTCAATGTCGGTCGCGTTTGGTACAGTTCAGGGTACTTACCTAGTATATTTTCATTGTATGGATAGATCGTATACCTTACTGTGACTATGAATAATATACAACCGGGAAAAGAAGTCACGCAAACAGATGAACTAGTATTTTCGTATATTAACCTTTCTTTACGCGTGTCAATTAGTATATTACGATGTTGTGGCAGGTCTATACCAATGATTGGCATAGGAACATCTGCAACAACAGGAATCCAGTGAATTAGTTTGCGTAAATCGAGATAAACACATCACTTACCATATGTGGCGATCAGTTTCCAATTTAACACCTGTAAGTTGAAAATCGGTTCGTGCAGTCGGTACTTAGATGTTGCTGGAGGTAGCGAACTTTCATCATCACATCAGTGATGTATAACAGACGGCTGCCTTTAACGTGTGATGATGAGGGAGTTTCGTGAAACCTTTCACGTGTCGTATGGTTTGGGGCTTGAGAAAGTTTATGGTACCCTGCGATTTCTAGACGACTTACCACACTTATTGTTGTACTAATGTAGTGAAGGAGACACAGGTGAGGACAACCGAATGTATTTGACACAAAACGACAGAGCGTCTCAATAAAATGTGAGAACTATATATTAAACCGTTAATTTGCAAAATGTCCACCAATTGTCTCAAAATGTCTCAGACTTCATTGTCCTTACATTTTCATACAAATTGCATTCTATTCCCGCTCTTGCTTCCTTGATCTTCCCTCATCTTCTGCTTCCAGACATTACATTCCCGACTCATAATATACTACTCATATCAATATAAGTAGCACGCACCACACTAGCACCAATAAGATATATCTACCTCTAGTGTTTTAGCGACAGATACTTTTCGTGACGACCATACTCGAATTTGAATATTTGGATAACCAGTCAGAGTGTGACACATGTTCGTAAATAATTTTGTGTTGAGGCTCTTTTTTAACAGAATAAACCTCGGTGTTGATGTTCTGGTGATCTTCGGATTTCGGTCGCTAGATAAATTCATTTCGTCTACAGCGCTTTTTCGGAATGTGACAAGCACTTCCTGAACCTTTTGGGGCCTAGACAAGAAAAGGTGTCTAAACAGTCCCTCGTCAAAGGTCCGTTGGTCAGTGACCTGATTCATCCGTAGCAAAATTTCTGTTACTGAGCAATGTTGCAGATCGATGCTGTGGAGTTTCACTAACCTTTGTCGATGGGTTTGGAAATATATGGAAGAAGTGGATGTATAGCAGAGAGGGAAGCCTTGATTCGAATTGTTTGCATGTAGTAAAGCAACTGTACATAGTACCCGTTGAGAAATTAAGTGTAATATCCTTCGCGCATATAAAACCCTAGCTGGTATACTTTCCGCATAATAACTAACTTTTGCCCCGCTCTTAATATGCAGTTATGTGTATCTCCCTTCCATTTAATTGAAGCTGATATTGTCTCTTATTCTAATACCAACAGTGTATTCGTCAGTGTATAACGCCTTGAAATTGTTCTACATAGACTTAATACATAAGCTGAGGTCATAATAATTTTAACATACTTGAGCTTATTGCCTACTGGACATATCTAGAAAACGTAGTCTTAAGATAACTATAAGTGAGCAGGGACATTGAGGCATTTAGAAGTGTCATAGGATCTTCGCCACATGACCCCTCAAGTTTAGCATAAAATAACTAGAATTTGTACTAGCTGTTTGATACTTCGTCAGAAAAATTGAACGTAGGGACACTTGACAGAGGCTTCATGACTCAAAATTCAGGCGTAGTCACTTTATCCAACCCCCTCATTTTATATTAAACAGCTGATAATTAGTACGCCACTTCTACGATAGAACGACCCAGCATAAGCTACTTGAAGGTCTTATAGACTAGGGAGTCCAAAGTACAAGGTTAGGTCGATGATTCTAGTAGCATAGATAGGTGTAATAATACTTCATTCTTACAGACCAAACACTACTTGCTACAACACACAATAGGTACGAACAAAGTATCCCCGATATTTTCTACTGCTACTCATGCTATTGCTATTTCTTTACCTGGAGGTTGTCATGATCCCGCCGTGGCAACGTGGACTGATACACACACACCCAATATTCTGCGCCGCGTATGAATAACAGGTTGAGCGAGCTTTAGCGCGACCAACTAAATTTTGCCTAGGAAAAAAAATCAAATTCAATGTTACTTCATACTTATGATGTTTCCCTACATCTCTAGTTAGAAAACCATTCCAAAAATATAAAATATATTTTAACACAAAAGCGTTATCTAAAAATCAAAATAATTCTTGCATAGAAGTAATCATGAATCGAAATCAAGTTTTTCAGCTTGAAGCGTCGAATTTAACATTAATTCGGTGCCAACAGTTTGACAATAAGCCGCGAATGTTTAAAGTAGCTGAGCAGAATTCCGGTTGGGTGTTGTAAGAGCTATCAACAGCCGAACACACAAACTCTGCTTCACGAATATCTTCTGCAAAAAATAATTACAAAAAGCAATCTATTTTAGATTACGAGACACCAGTGATTAAAATGACGGATAATTTTTAATTGAGCAATGCGAACAGTATGCATGGAATAAATTATTTTTAAATCGCTAGATTCCAAAGTCATACAGCATCACACCATTATACTGGTTCCGGGAACGTGATAGTATATAACCAAACCGTTAAACGCCGGCAGCTTCTAGTTTTAGTCCGAAATGTGGAAACTCTAGTGCAGAAGTATGAGTAACAGATTCTAGAATAATCGGATGTGAATCTTCGAATTCACTTGAATTGCCTCAACCATAGTCAACGTTTACTTACCATCGCCATCAATTCCGCATTATCAAACACTAAACGTAGTCAAGACTGTAGGAAGAACTAAGAAAAATATCTCCGCTCACTTAATATCACAGTCTGTAAAATACATGTCTGGCATAAAGATGCAAGGAATGACTTAAGTCCTTGTACATCAAAAAGTACGACACAATACAAACTCAACCGCAGCTTAGTGCAACCCACTATATTTGGACATTTTGTGCATTACACCGAGAGCTGCACCGGAAATGTTAGGGACTATGATAACAGGCGGTTATGCAAGTTCAAGTGACTGAAGAGATCTTAAGCTTATGGGGAAATGTCTTGATAGTGGGCGTTCAAACCTAAGTTCCAAAGTACACAAATATTATAGTGGTTATCGATAATTATGTACACAAATTCCCACCTAAAACTGTCCTAACCACAGTCACAGCTCTCTGAACTATGAAATTAAGACAGACAAAAACATCTGTAAGCATTATTAAACACTTGCTTGGAATAGGAACCTCCACAGTCCATATTGTCCACGCCCATTGTTTCACGCTCCGGTTTTTTAAAGAATGAGGATTGTCTATGTCCGTTACATCACCTTCTGCTGCAGGAGGGCTGGCTGGTGACAATTTCGCTTGATACCAAGACCTGCCACCATCCGAAGAAATGCGAACGGAAATGATCCCACGCCCACCTCCGCTGAATGCATAGCTAAAGTGTAAGGTCATTTAACATGTATAAGTAAAAAACATTATATGAAACTACATATGAATCGTTAGAATGAGATTATCCTCAATATAATTTTCCCTTGTTTCCGGTTATAAAGTATAATTATTATGAGAAACCATAGTATTGAAGAATGATGGAAATCAGTTACTTTATAAGCTTGTATTTTGCTGAGGATAATGTAGAGAAAAACAGGGAACTCATTATAATCTCTAAAAATCGACGTTATTACATCGCTTAAAGATATTTTTGCCGAATTATTTTGTCCTTTTTGAACGTTAAGTGATTCATATCACCAAATCATCCTCAGTACTTACAGCTCATTCTATAAACAAAATTACAACTGCACAATAAGTATCTTAGAAAATTAGGACTGAAAATATCAAGACACAAAAGGACCACCTATAACAATCACCACTTTATAAGCAAAGATAGATAGTGGCTATCAGTGGAATCCAGGACGCACACTTCGTCCTATTTGGGACTCGTCAGCTAGATGTACCTGCATTTCAGAGTTGATGTTCACTGTGAGACTCGAACTCAGTACCGTTCGCTTCAAACGCCATCGCGTCATCCACTTAGCTACTGAGTCCTGATAGCCACTTGCTTGTGCAATGGGGTGTATTTTAATTCACTTGATATTGTTTTACTTGAATCTTCCCATTGATGTTTTAGGACTGAAATCGATCAGTCTCTTATTGGCATATGCGCATCCTGTGCGTATTGCCTCGATATTGCCTTAATTTACAAGCATTATAAGCAAAGATAGATAGTGGCTATCAGTGGAATCCAGGACGCGCGTTTCGTCCTATCAGGAGTCATAGGTAAGTGGATAATGCGATGGCGTTTGAAGCGAAAGGTACTGGATTCGAGTCCCACAGTGAACATCAACTCTGAAATGCAGGTACATCCAGCTGACTAGTCCCAAATAGGACGAAACGCGCGTCCTGGATTCCACTGATAGCCACTATCTATCTTTGCTTATAATGCTTGTAAATTAAGGCAATATCGAGGCAATACGCACAGGATGCGCATATGCCAATAAGAGACTGATCGATTTCAGTCCTAAAACATCAATGGGAAGATTCAAGTGAATTAATCATCACTTTAGTTTATATCAGTAGCACGTAACACAGTGGTAAGCGTCATCATAAAGTGCGACGAACCATTTCATTTGTGTAGTCCTCATAAGATAAAAATCCCGCTTTCTGAGGTTTCAGATTCAAGATTTTTTAAATACAGTGGTCATCTACGACCTTATATTGATTAGTTAATCAACAAGTGATTGATTTACTAAACCTAATAACAGTAATTTGAACTACAGAATAAATCAATCAAGAAACATGAGATAATTTTTGTAAAGACCATTGGAAACCTACCCTGACAAAATTACACTCCCAGTGTTTTTGAGGGTTTGGCCATCAGAAGGTTTACAAATAACTGACTGAACAGGATAATCCAAAATAGCCGGTAAGCCCTTCAGATCCGGGACTTTACCATCACCCATCGGTAGAACATATTTATAATCACCCTGCTGCCAAAAGCTTTCACTTTCGTCCGTTGATAATGTAATCTAAAGAGTCAATATGTTCTACACAATAACCTCTCAAGGTAAAATAATAATATGATAAGATTCTCAGAAACTGGTACGGAGTAGTCTGTTCATTACACAGAAGTCGTTTTTGGTAAACTAAACTGGTAATACAAACAATGTATGTAGAGTTCCGTATTCAAACAACCTGTAAACATCAATATTAAGCAAAGATGAATAGTGGCTAATAGTGGGATCCATAACACACGTTTGGTTCTATTTAAAACTCTTAAGCTGGATGTACCAGGATTCCGGAGTTAATGTCCACTCAGGAACTCTTATCCAGTACCTTTCACTACAAACATCGCATTATCCATGAGCGAAGATTAAATCACGAGTAACTTCTGAGACATATTAATCGACTAATATTATCTATATATTCTTATAGTATAACTATTCAATAATTAGATTATGTATATTCATATTCCTCTTATTATAAGCTTTATTTTGACATGTGATTTATTATTGTACGATTTACTGTTCTTCAGCTATGTTCAGTTTATTAACTACTGCCTCCCATGTTCACAGCCACTTTTTGGCTTTATGGTGTACAAATGTTATTTCCTATTTTATGGTGCGTTGCGGTCTGTTTGGTTGATATATAAACCCAGTATGTCGGAAATAAATTATTCGATTCGCATAGTGGAAGCTGGTATTGGTGTTTTGGACTCAAGTGAACGGGCTAGGCGGACATAGGACCGATAAGGACGCTAGGCTGCTCATACTGGTTGAACGTCATTGGTTTTGGTACAGTGCTAAGATTGTATAACTCGTATTTTGATTGGTGGGTAAATCACATGATAAAAAGCCGGACATAAAGTCACAACAATCCACTTCGAAACTGAGTTCAGATATAACCCGGCTTGTACAATGGGATGCCCAGATAGACTGATTAATCGCAGATCTGAACATTAATGGGAAGATCCAAACAACCTATATGTATAAATTAGAATCAAAATTCCCCTCATTGCACAAGCCAGTTTATATATAAACTCAGTAGAAAAGTGGGTAGAGCGATTTTCTTCGTAGCGAAAGGTACTGATTACGAGATCCTTAGTGAACATCAACTCTAGGATGCAGGTAAATCCGGCTGAAGAATCCCAAAACGGATGGATTTCAACACTGGCCATTATCCATCTTTCCCTAAAATCCCTGTGATTAACTGGCTATATCAAGGTAATCCACACAGGATACATAAATGTTAAGAGAGACTGATTATCAATTGAAGTCCTTAACATCAATGGGAAGATACAAACAAACAATAAATATCAATTAAAATTATAGACATGAAATACAAATCCAGCTCTCAATTATAATTGATATTCAAAATTCAAAAACACAACTAAAGCTTGAGACTACACCCAACAGTACGAGAAAAATGTTTAACGTTACTCATACATTGGGTAGTCTAAAGACAAAAAATCTAATCAAAACACTAAAAAAAGTCCTTACAAGTAAACAATTGCTAACAATAATCTTAATTACTGTATTGTTATAGCTTCAAGCGATTTAACAGTCATCAAAACATTAAAATTAAAATAGACATAATCCAATAAGGACGATGTCATTTCAACAAATATTCATAAATATGATCAATTAATCGTAACGACATATATGAAGTGATAACGCTTATGTAAGCTATATATATACCAGATAGAAAACAAACTGATGGATAAGATAAAAGTAAGTTTCAAGATTACTGTTTACGCTTCAATAACACAGTAACGAGTTACTAAGATTTTAAGTCGAAACAACTGGCTTGAAGAAGGTTTAGATGAAGAATTTATGCACAATTGAGGTTACAACAACTCACTATTTCAAGCCTAACTTTGTGCATAAAGGAGTCATGTTCAATCCCTTATTCTTTTGTTACTTTAGCACCCCTCCTAACTTTGCAAATCATAATTGATAATTATTACTTTATTCTTTGTCTCTCTCTCTCTGCAGTTTTCCTTTGCAATGAATTTATGAATTATTATTTCCTATTGTTTTTGTAATTATTATATCACTTAATTCTTAAATAATTTTTGATCGCGATACTAATTTTACTCAATAGTTGAAAACTCTCGATAATTTTAATTACTTTAAAGTGATACCCTTTTATTCATAGGCTATTATAGTCAATATTTGAAATTTGTTAATAATCTCTGATTTCTTTATTAACTAATGAAAAAACATTTCATTATTGTCGAGTTTTACATTTAAACATGGATACGTTTGACTGTTTTTGAAAAGTTTGTTTGATGACGTAACATTCCTTTAACGTATCATAACTATCAAATGTAAAAAGTTAACAATAAACATGATTATACAGCTCAGGGAATTTTTTTCGTTGAAACGTCTTCAGAACTGTACAAGAAAACATGAATTAACAAGAAATATAACAGCTTCTACATTTAATCTACAGTGAGAATGTTTGATCTTTTAAGAGTTATTAGACCAAGAATAGTGAGTTGTTAGACGACAATAATAAGGATATATAACATGCAAGTAGGACCGTATCTATAGTATTTAAAAAGAAGACAGATATATTAGTGGCAGTATGAAAAAGCAAACAGAAATCCCAACGTACATAAAAACCTAATAAATTGTGTACAAAAGTAATAATGATAAATAAAAATGGTATATTTTCAGTATTTCGATGAGCGGAAAAACTGAATTTCTGATGTTACGTGAATTAGTATCGAAATAAGTGTCGTACAAAATTCAAGCCCAGTAGAAAAAAATAAACATTTCGCTGCAATTAATTCCTTCAATCTAATATCTATGTTTCAAAAGTGATAATACAACATATATTAGTTACAAAACCAAGAAACAATGGACAGCTTTATGGACGTAAAGTATGATCCCTTCAACAATAGTGCCCGCCAATCACTCCATACACAATGATACACTAGATCTCCAATTCTCATGACAATTTTCGAACTAATATTAGGATTTAATAGAAAACTGACTTTAAGTTTAACGAATCTCTACAAACTATTTAGCTAAATAATAGTCGTTTATCCATTAGAGGTCACTTTCAAGATGGAGTCAATCAATTAGAAAGTGGGCGAGTTACCCACTGGTGACATTGGCTATGTATCATACTAATCATGAGTAAATGGGAGATCACAATGTAGCCTATTCAGTTTGAATAATATAATGCTTGCTACAAGTAAAGGTTTAAGGTTCAATAGTACTTAAGGTCATCATAGGACACAGCTGAGAAGTTCAGCAATTTACAGTTCTTTCGTTTTCATTGACCTTTCAAACTATATCAGCTTGTAAAAATAAATTATCTCGTGATAATTGCTAAGAAAAGTGTAAACCTTCATAAAATAGTTAATTAACAGTAGTTACATAAGAATAAATACGTTAAAATGTATGTAGTTTACACAACCACGGTCATCTCTTGAGTTAAGTACTCAATTGATGATTGGGTTATAACATTGAAAAAGACAGTTAAAGTAGTTGCAGTAACTTCTTTTGAGTGCAAAGTTTATTTACGAAGAACTCAGGTAGCCTAAATTGTGTAAGACACAGTGAGTGGTTTGCGATAGATAAGTGCGAACACTACTTAGGTCAAACAGATTGCTAGTCCATAATAATGATCGATATTTATTCACTATTCCTATTTTTCTTAGACTACCCTTGATGTAAAATATTCAGAAATCTAATGAACTTCTCGCTTGATTGTATGTGTGGCAGTGACAGCTCTTGAATAAATGGAACAAGAATGAGAGAGGACACAAACTTTTTTCGTTTAGTTGAAAAGTACTTACTTGACCTAGCCATTTAACTTGACGAGCTCCAATAGAACCAGGTATGATAATTCTCAATGGGAAACCATGATCCCGAGTTAATGGCTTATTGTTCATTTTAAAAGCAATGATTACCTCCCTCTGAGGATCTAAAGCTAAATCAATTGGTAGCGATGAACCAAAAGCTCCACCAGTAGGATCTATATCCAGTCCTATATTAGAAAAACGTTAGGAAATGTTAGGAAATATGAAGCCATTGTTATTATTTTTGAAAAAATCAACTAGGAATATTTTCTCAATGTTACTCATAGCAACTACTGATTAAATTAGTGAGTGTTAAAAGGATAAAATAGGGCAATGATTTTCCTGTATATGTAGTAGCACGCTAAAATAGAATAGATAAAGGTTATTGGCTATAGACATGTACACCTTATGGAGCTTAATAGTGTTAGACATGAGTCATAGTACCAATCAAATACAGAGCTACTCAATTTCCTCGTTCATTTACAGAAACCTACAAAAAGCAAAGAAAGAAGTTAAAAGAACAAAAAATGTTCATCTAAATTCCTTTTTACTTTTAGATCATTACAACAATATTTCGCTTTTTTTATACTTTGTAAATTAAATTGTTCCACATGATAATTCTATTAAGAACCGTATCTCAATAATTTGTAAGTTGAATATTATTTATAGAGAATATTCAAACCCTGAAAACCGTATAAAGATGCTCTCAATATATAAAGCTAACTTTAAGATGATTAGTATTTAGACCATTTAAATTCTTACTAGACGATTTGGTTTACTGAACCCCCCCACACACACAAAAAAACCTTCCTCCCTAACTATATTCGATAGATGGTACTGGAATTCTTTGCTGGAATTTTTTGCCCCCAAATGCCCTGGTAAGGCCGAGAGTAAGGAGAGTCCGCCCTCCCTCTCGAAATGCTCTTGCACAACCACGCATATACAGCCTGTGCCAGGGCAAGTCCTACTCATTGCCTTCTCATGGCGGGGGTTTTGTTTACGAAATTGAGAGGACGAAAAGCGAATGTCTGGCGTTTTAACCGGGTTGGTGGACATCAAGAGTCCACATAAGGGAGTTGGAAAACCCTGATTTCAAACCAATGGTGCACATGAGCTTCAGTATCCTGAGGGAAAAAATGGCGTATGAACCAATTATTGGTCACCGTCTACCATGGGACTGCATCTCCTTACATTGCTCCACTACCTTGTGGGTCAGACCTTACTGGATATACCGTACTGGAATTCATATTGAAATGAAACTATAATAGTTCAAACAATTATAAAAACCATAAGAATTTATAATTTCATGTTTAATTTAATGAATTTCTCAGTTAAAAATTTCAAAAGTATTTTTTTTAATAAATAAAAAATAGAAAGCAACTAAAATAACGCAGACGTAAATGTCAGGTATTTAGACAATTAACTCTATTTAAAACTACTTTATTAATGCTACCACGATTTAGAAGAAGAAGAAGAAGAAGAAGAAGAAGAAGAAGAAGAAGAAGGAAAAAAACCATTTTTACAATTATGCACTTACATAAGTGTTCTTATTGATTTATATAATTTATTATTATAGATTTTAATTAAGTTCATTTATGAAGAACTCATTATTTATTAAGTAAATATTAATGATATTTAATATTATAATTATTAAAAAGGAACAAGTTGAATCAGTTGAAAAAAAAAACAAAATACTTAATGAAAATATTTAGTAGATTATTCAGTCAGTCAGTTACAACGTAGGACCAGGCATATACGTGCATCGGTTTGAGTTGCCATACCTCATTAGCATAACAAGATGAACACCGGATTCATAGGAGTGGTTAAGTTAATGGTGGTAATATATAAAAGAAAGATTATCAATAATCAACCATTCGATAAACTCAATACAGTGAAAAAATGAACTTTATATTAATTAATTGAAATATGAAAGATCAATCACAATTTTAATGTTGATTGTAATTACATTTTATTATCTTATTAATATATATAGTTATAAATAAAAGTGGAGTTCAACCAGGTCTGTTGCGAGATAGTAATTCACTGATGATAATAGTGGATGTGTCGCTAAATTTCTTGGATTAGTTGAAGTTAGACATTAACGCCGTTGGATTCCAGCTTAGTGGTCTAGTGGTTAAGTGCTCGCGCGCGAGACTAATAGGTTCTGGGTTCGAAACTCACAAAGCGGGATTGTGGATTTGCACTGTTGAAGAGTCCTACAATAAGACTAAACGGCCGTCCAGCGCTTCCAGGGTTTTTATGGTGATCTAGCTTCAACTGACTTATAATCTCAATCATTAAAAAGTAAAATAGTAAATGAATTATGATGATATAAGAGTTAGTAATAACAGAAATATAAATCTTTCAATCAATAACGAAATATCTATTGTTCTTCCTCCAATATTCATAAAGCTCAGCATGAACTAATATGAATGACAAAGATCACTAAATTTTAGTGCTTACATGATTGGTTTTTGGTAAATTTGCATCTAGGACCTATCATCTTAACATTCACTAGCACAGTCTTATTTTATAATTTTTTATTAGTAACTATTAAAAGAATCTTGTATTTGTCGTCTAATGGAATATGATATAGTTTAAAAACTGCTGTATTTCCTGGTCCAAATGATTTCACTGAAAACCTGTAGAAGATTATCGATTAAGACATTATACTCTCCTTTCTCCTAACCAATTTGTTTATTGAACTTAACGATATTTTATTAAAGCTTCTGAAATCTTTGTACTCCATCTTCAGAGGAAACTAATCTGTCTTTTGGATCTAGTTCTCGGATTCTTAGTGAAACAGTTTACGATGTACTCTAACAGTTGGACTGCATAATTAATCGCTCTCAAAACTTTCAAACTAACAAATATAGGAAACATCAGTAGCGAGAAGTTGAAGAAAGTCTAAATCTCCTTGTATTCTGGGTATAATTAACCTCAGGAATATTCAATAGATAAGTACTCATGCACAGCTTACCATCAAATCGAATGTGACGTACACCTGCATTTTTAAGCAATTCGTAGAGTGCTTGATAGTTTGTTCTTTGGTTTGAAGGTAACAGATGATAAGCCAATAAGTCCACTAACAGTACGCCAGTCCACTCTGCCGTAGAAATTGCTCCCTCAGACCACGATAAGCCTTTCACATAAGGACTATGTTCTTCTAATTCAGCCTTTTTTATATCATACTTGATCATATCTGATCGTCGGTTTCCAGCGCAAACAATGGTGGATACTAAACTTTTACGAGGATAATTCTTTAGAATATCTTCTAATTTTAAAGACAAATTCAGTGATTGATTGTTAACTTTTATAACCGAAGAAGCTATTTCAAGTCTATATGTCCTAAAGGAGAAAAATATTTCTAAGGATATATAGCTTGAAAGATAAATGTTGAACTAAATTTAATAAAGAAAATTTCAGTTAAAAAATGAAGAAATCAATTTGAAAGGACCAATCAGATAATGTTACATCATCTTTACCATTACTTAACTTTAATATACTTTTTATTTTATCGGTTTTCAACTGATTATTCTTTAGCTAAAAGTGTTAACTCGAACTGATCCATTTTATAAAGAAATATATTAAGCTAGTCCTTTCATTGATTTTAATGTTGACAATTACAATAAGTGACAAGATGACTGCATTTAATCAGTTATTAACCTTAATAAACAGATGCAGATTATTTTTCTTTGCAGCAGCTACTAACCTAAAAAAAAAAGATAGATCCCGGATGATACAACAGATACACAATATTTACAAGAATAGGTTTTCTATAGAAAGACACTTAATCAGACTGAGTGTTTTGTAATAACTGAAAGTTAATAAACTGAGCTGATTGATGATAGTGTACTAAGATTATTCAGTGAAATAAGGAATACCTGTACAATCAAAATGTGTGATATAAATAAAGAAAGGTTTCCATCCATATGACACAACACACATTTTGCAAATCAATCTTTTGCCTACAAACTTAAAGTAGTTATATTTGTATATTTTAAGATATCAGAAAATCCCATAGTTTTATCCTCACTTTACGCTTGGTTGGGTTAATCAAACATTAGTGAACGAATAAGAACAATGTCCTCAGTTTAGGAAGAAGTGGGCTTTAGCAACTATGAAGGTAAAGAAGTAAAAAGTGATTAATTTCAGATGCCAAAGAAAAACGTCTGACATCAAAGTAAGGACGTAGCCATTTAAAATTGGAATTTACTTATACTATCACAAAACACAACTATCACCATGTTATGAGGCATTAATGGTAAATTTAAATAACTTCGTGAGCATACGTCAACCACTTTACCAATTATGCAAACAGAGATTGAAATTTTCAGCAAATTATTAACTTATGAAATCAGCTTTTCATTAACCATAACAACAAGTTCAATCTAGCATTTGTAAGAAATTGCGAAAGCAGAAATGAACCATCAGTAATTAATGCTGTTATTATAAATTATCTCCAGTCAGTCTTAATTTTTTCGTCTCATTTTGTCATCAGGATATAAGTGCTCATATTTCTTAAGGAAATTACTTCGAAATGTCTACGCAATCTGTAAATCTAAGTTAATTCCAAGTGTTTTTATAATGCTTACGTGACAAAATCAAACTGGCGCTCGGTAAATTTATGTCACTTTTTAGATTGACATCCGTAAGATTCTTCTTATCATTCTTTTACTACATTTCATTTGCAAAATGAAGGTGAACATTAGTTGAATTCTTGTAACGATCGTCACTGTTTTTCCTTATCCTACTCGCGAACTGTTATTTATTTATCTAATGAGCATTAAGATAAATTATTAATAGTCTTGAAATTAAATACATACATGCGATGTATTCTTAGTCTTCAACAGTTTAAAAGCATTCATCTGACACCATATTTAAGGTTCTCGCATTTACACTTGTGTTCATAATAAAATCATCTGTATGGCGATGCTGAAACTTCGTTAGTATTTAACGCGTTCTTGCACATCATTATTTTTTATTAGATCGATTCAGTCTTTTAGTGTCTGTTGAGAGAGCTTACATAGAATACTTTGAGATTTTTATTTAAAACTGCTTAATCAATCAGTATATTATGAGAGATTAAAACGTTTGCGCTGGGAACCGACGATCCAGTATGACCAAGTATGATATAAAAAAGGCTGAATTAGAAGAGCGTAGTCCTTTATTAATCCACGTTTGTAATGAATTCAGCAGAATCAATCGTATTTGTACTAGCGATACTAGTGACGTAAAGATGAACTTCTTGGCTGATACGCTAATGAAAAATTGTTATTCATTGAAGTTCATAAACCGCTGGAGGGGTGTCAATACGATTAGACCTATGACGGTTCTGGCACCCAAGAAGCGTGTTTACATTATGTTACCATTTAGAGGCAACACAAATAGTCTCATGTTGAAACTGAGACTTAAATTAGCCATCAACCGGACATTTTATGCAGCCCAACTTGTCATTACTAAAAAGATAGGGTCTGTTTCACCAAAAGCTCGAGTATCACGCAAGCGACTGTGTCACACCCCAGTGTGTCTATCAATTTACATGTATGTGCGGAAACACATATATACGGAGGAGTAATCGTGATTTGCAATTAAGTGCAGGTGAACATATACCAAAATGATTGAGATTGGTCATAAAGTTGACAACAAGTCAGCATTTGTAGTGTTGTACAAAATCCTTCAAGGACGTCAGTCAGTCAGTCAGCTACAACGTAGGACCAGGCACATATATGCATCGGTCCGATTTTCTATACCGCATTAGCACAGCAAGATGAACACCTGATTCATAGGAGTGGTTAATTTAATAGTCGTAATATATAAAAGAAAGATTGCATATAAGAACATGGTACAGGAAGAAAGAATAAGTTCATAGAAAGGAAGATATGAAGTGATTTTAATCTCTTAGTTTAAGGGAAAACAAAGTTATTATATTATTTATTTATTTTATTTGAACACAAAAATATTGGTACAAGAGAGCGCCAATATATATGCGCCACACAAAACAATGAGAATTCGAAGAGAAGTAGAAAAAAAACTAAGGAGCGCAAAAGAAAAACAGAACAATGACGAAGAGATTGGAGTAAGGTAGTGTGGTAGTAACGACGGAACGAAAAGGTACAATCAGAAGAAATCTTTCAGGTAAAGGAGACACAACCACTTTTTATGAAGAAAGTAAAAGAAGGTTACAGCAGGATCGCCACTGGCTTCTATTCTGAGCCATATCTGATAACGTCTCTAGCCACTGTGTAGCACCATCTCTCGGACCCCAGCCAGGGAGTCGTGAAGGACCAACACAAGCCAGTCCTTTGCAGCTTTCTTTCATGCCACGACACCATGTCATGCACTGACCACCTCTCCGCTTCTTCCAACCAGTCCCAGAGTCGGCAAATAATGCACGACGTGGAATTCTCTGGGACGACATTCGGAGAACATGTCCAAGCCACCGAAGTCAATGTTTTAAGGTGGTGACACCAATTGCATTATCGTCTCTGTGCTCGAACACACCATGCCGAACCTCTGCATTACTAACATGGTGTTGCCACTGGATGTCAGCAATCCTTCGGAGACAACGATGATCAAACACAGAGAGTCGACTAACACCGTCAACTTGGAGAGGCCAGGTTTCACAAGCATACAGCAAAACTGCTCTCACCGACGCGTTGTAAATCCGACCGTTTGCAGCCAGACTAACATCACGAAGGCACCAAAGATGGCCCAGATTGGCATAAGTCACTCTGGCTTTCACTATACGTGAATTGATCGCATCACTCACGCCACCACCAGCACTTATGCAGCTACCCAGATACACGAACTTCTCAACTACTTCTATCTGCTCACCAGTCAGAGTGAGTACAGGATTAGAATCCCCTCAGTCTTGTAGAAGTACTCTGCACTTCGAAGGTGCAAAGCACATACCATACCTACGGACACTGATTGTCAACTGATTAAGTGCGGATTGCATGCCTTGGGCATTATCGCACAGTAAGACAATATCGTCCGCATACTCAAGGTCGAGAAGTCTTTCTCCAGGCAACAGATCCACACCACCATTACTTACATTCATCAGAGCTGTTTCCAGAATGTCATCGATGGCAAAGTTGAAGAGGAATGGTGAGATTGGGCAACCCTGCCTAACCCCACTGCTCGAATGGAACAATGGAGAGAGGTGGTTGTATGCCCTCACTCTGCCTGAGGTGTTTTTATACAGGGCTTTTAGGATGTTAATAAACTTCTCAGGCACACCCTTCTTCAATAGACAATCCCAGACAACAGCCCTGTCCAACGAATCGAAGGCAGCCCTGATGTCAAGAAACACTACGATTGTTGGCCTTTGAAAAGTATGGCGGTGTTCTAACATTTGGCGGAGGGTGAAGATATGATCAATACATCCTCGACTAGAACGAAACCCAGTCTGCTCCTCGCGAGTCAATCTTTCTCGGGTTTTGAACAACCTACGAAGAATGACGGAAGCCAATAGCTTGGACGCAATCGGAAGTAAACTTATCCCCCGATAGTTGTTGCAGGAACGACGTGAACCCTTTTTAAAGATAGGGACAACTATCGACTCATTCCATGACGTTGGTACACTCTCTAGTTCCCAAACCTTTGTAAACAACGTCGTCAATTCCTTAGTCAAAAAGTCACCACCATCTTTAAAAAGAGCCGGAGGTAAGTCATCTGGGCCAGGTGATTTGTAACGCTTCAAGAGTTGGAGTTCCTTGCGGACTTCCTCCTCGTTTGGTGGATCAGTCGTCACCGGCCATGGAGGGCAGGACAGTCTGACCGATGTTGCCGGAGCAGCAGGCCAGTTGAACTGCCCTTCGAAAAATTCTGCCCACCGTCCAAGACGTCGATGGATGTTAGTGATTGGCATCCCATCATCCTCGCAGATTGTTTCACTCACACCAGACTTCTTGCTGCCAGTGGCTCGGATGAGCTGGAAGTGCTTCCGGCAGTTACCAGATGCAGCTGCTGCTTCCAGCTCATTAGCACTCTCCGACCACCAGGCTTCTCGGTCCTTACGCAAGCTTTGCCCAATTTCCTCACGTAACACCCTTCGTTTATGGTCAAACTCACGGTCACCCGGAGTAGACCGACGGGCTTCAATGAGTTGTAAGGAACCTGCAGAAACCCAGTGCTTAAAAGCGGGACGTTTCACAAACCCACAACTGACTGTTCCCGCCATTTTCATGGCGTCATGCAATTGCAACCAATGCTCATCTATACTTTTCGGTGGAGTGGTAGCTAGCCTAGAGGCTAGCTCGGTTCGATACTTACTTGCAACAGAAGTTGCAACCAGCTTGCTAACATCAATCCGTTGATGGCGTTCACTTCGTTGTCCACTGAAA